GGGCCCCGTGGAGTGTCCCCTTTTTGGACACTCAAAATATGGTAACCCTAGGTCTGGGCATAATAGGTCTGGCTTCTATCCTGGCCCTTCTATGTACTTTGAGAGACTGGGCAAGTCATTTAGTCTCTCTGCTTCCATTTCCTCCTCTGCAACATGCACACGGGAATTGTGGGATTAGATATGTGTATTGTGATACTATGTCTCGGCTGTCTGACAGGGTGTTGCAATTGTAGGATTGAGCTAATGTTCTGCTAGGAACTGGATTGAGACCCACGCCAACCCACAGGAGTAATCACTTAGTTACTGCAGACCTGGGCTGGATTTGAACTCATGACCTGAAGGTGAAAGGATCAGTATTCCAAGACCAATTCCTATCACCCGTCAGTCCCCTGTGATAGGGAACACTGAGTCTCCCATGGCTGAGTGCCATTTAAAGATTTCTGGGAGGATGGATAAATGTTCCTTCAAGTTTTTGGCGGTGATCCTCTCCTGTCACTGTGTGCTCCTGATTTGCAGCAGGGAAACCGCCTAGTAGGTGCTGAGATGCTGTTTCTATTCCATTTTTCGCATCAAACATCTTTTGCAAAGTCTTGGCAGGACCTGACTAGACACTCTCTCTCCCTGGCTTCTCCCCAACACATCTATTTGCTTTATTCCAGGTGTTGACAGGCTGGATAAAGATCTAACAATTGGACAGATGCAAGGTAAATATTTAATACTGCTAGCTATAATGCTCTTTCAGGAGACAGTTTATGTTGCAGAGAGTGAAAGAGAGCTGGAGAAGCAGGCTGAAATGGTCCTGGCTGGGGCAATCTATATTGAGACAAACAAGTATTAAAGAATGTAGTTTAATCCCCAGAGTAACGGTGTGATCCCTTGTCTATGATTCTCTCTAATGGAAGCTAGAGGAGTTATTAGATCTTGCCAATCACCCTGTTGCTAATGCAGGGCTTTGGTAGTGCTTTTGTTCAGTCTGGTATTAAATATTCAAGTGACAGGGCTTTGTCATGTCTCACGGGATTCATTCAGTGATCTTCAGTCTTGCCATTAGAAAGCTTTTCCTGATTTTTTTCAGTCTGTTTTCTTTTAATTCCATCCCATTGTGCCTAGTTGCACCACCTGGTGCCACCTGAAACACACACTCCTCTCTCTCTCTCTCTCTCTTTTGACCTGGCAGACTTCTAATAATGCTTGAGAGACGTGGCAGGGGAGGTAATAACTTGTACTGGACCAGCTTGTGTTTGTGAGAGAGACAAACTTTTGAGCTTATGACCTGAAGAAGAGTTCTTTGTAAGCACAAAAACTTGTGTCTTTCCAACAGAAGTGGGTCCAATAAAAGATATTCCCTCATCCTTTGTATAACGTCCTGGGACTGACATGGCTACAACAACCTCTAATAATGCTTAACAGTTACATTAGCACCTTTCTCCGCCCAGTCCCCATCACTGATTTCTTTGGAAATTGGCTATTGGAAGGGAAAATGGATGATTGGATAAAGGTCCTGGTGTGGTAGGTCTGACAGTTACATTCATGTCAGGAAGATGGGATGGCATTTAATACGAAGCTCTCGGGAATCAAGGATTAGGAAGATAGCGATTGAGCATGGTTTTAGTTAATTCAGAGCTCCTGCACAAGTAAGAAGGAAAGTTCTTGCCTCCTGCAGAAGTTTTGTGCTCTACATATGCTGCTGTTTGACATCTGGTGTCCAACAGCTTCCTGAGTCCTCATCAGCTAGATATGACATTGGGGGTAACTTGTAAAGAGGTTGAGATCTGGAGTAGAAATGTCCATAAAATTGCAGAATATTTTTGCACCTTAACACGTTCAGTCCCTGCCTTTAGTCTTTATAGTGAGTTGGCTTCTGCGGTTGCATGTAACGCATGCCTGAGTCATTGCCAGGGAGGGATACGTTCATTCTAAAAGCAGTTGCATTGACTGTTTGGTCTGCAGGAAAGTTCCAGATGCAAGTCCTCCCTCAGTGTGGCCATGCAGTCCACGAAGATGCTCCAGACAAGGTGAGCCGCAAAGCGGGGCGAGCTTTGGTAGCAGCCCTTTTATGAGTTAGATGCAAAACTGGTCATCACCAATACGAAACTGAGGGCAAACCTCATGGGCCTTATGTGCACCACACCTATAAGGGGACCTGGTTACTGTTAGAGCAGATGGGACTAAGTCATATCCCTGAAGTTGGCTTGAGAGCCTGGACTGGCCAAGACTTCAGCCTTCTTGTGAGGAGACAGGTCCCACCTACGTTACCGCGTTAACTGTGTCGGGGGCCAGTTGTGGTGTATAACTGACTCAGTGATAACAGTAGTTATGATGTGGCATGGGATTTTCCATCCTTAACTTCTCTTAGGTTACCACAGCTTTTCCCTTCCCCCCTCCAGCCTTTAGTGCAGGTGGCTGCTTTCCTGGAGGGATAATGTCGTATTAAAACTGAGTAGTTAAAATTTAGAAAACTTCATATAAACATTTATTTGTAGCAGTTTATGTACTGACAAACAGTGACTCACTTAGCTAGTGTGCCAGGAAATAAAATGGTACTGTGGACTGAGCACGTCTGGAAATGAGCTTCGGAGTTCTTCTCAGCTCTACTATTGACTGTGTGGCTTTGAGTCACTTAACTGCTCAGTGCCTCCGTTTACCCCCTTGTAAAATGGGGATATTTTTACCTATCACAATGAGTTGTTTGGAAGAAAAGTTATTTGTAAAGCGTGATGTAAGTAATTTGTTGCTCTGAGTTAATCCTTAAAGGGACACCAGCTTAAATCACAATTCTTTTTTTTTTTTAAACTACTATAATACATGCCTAAGAATTACTGTAACTGAAGAAGATGGGGGAGGGAAATTTTTTTTGCCAAGTGTGCACTTGATGTATGGTCGGTATTATATAGACATTTATCCCTTTTGTGAGAAGTTTCACACACAGGCAGGGGGGAACTGTTTAAAATAATGGGAGGAAGGTGTAGTATTTTAACTATTTTAAATTTTGAAGCTGACCAGACTTCAAGTTGACTATGTCCCTTTAAACTCTGATTCCTTCCCCCCCCACACCTTCCTCCAGGTTGCTGAAGCTGTTGCAACTTTCTTGATCCGTCACCGGTTTACAGAACCAATTGGTGGATTTCAGTGGTAAGGATCTCTGGGTGCTAGGGCTGCATGAATCTCTTCCTGATCCCCACGGAAGTCTTGCGTTCCTTGTGTGTATCCAGGGTGGGGAGAGAGGAGTATAACAAGTGGTTGGGTGGGAAAGGAAGTAAGGATCAGCTTGGAGCTTTAATGTAACGTTAAAAGCAGCATGGAAATATGCAGCCTAGATCATACGCAGTATTGTATTTCATGTTCAGTGTGTAAAGATTTCACTGTCTCTAAACTTCTCATATTCCAACTTCCTAATTGTAATAATAAAACACTCAGACTTTGAGGGAGAAGACGACATGGGCCTGACCTAGCTGATTTCTTCCTTTGTGAGGGAAATCCTTATCCCTGATGGGGCAAAACTAGCAATTGCATTGAATTTTGTTAAACGGACCCAGTCACTGTAAACACTTTAGGACCCAAGAATGACCTATGTAATGTGGTGGAGACTGTCTTCCAATTTCTAAACGTCGCTATGGCTGTGCTTGTAATCTGGATCTCCATCGTGGAAATACACAATTTCCAGCATGTTTCTTCTGCCAAGAAACATTAGCAAGAACATACATTTAAAGCTTAAAGCTGCATACTTTGCTTCTCAGATCTCACGGCTGTGTCACCCACAACAGTCTAATGTAGTCTCCCATCATAATGAATTTCAGCAGCCAAAGCTCCTCTCTTGGCAGTGTGGTTGAGCCTAGATAATGTAGAAGAAACACCAAAGGTAAATGGAATGAACTCTGCAGGCTGCTGCATGTTGACTCCCAGGGTCTCCTAATCATATTGACAACAGGCGATACTGACCTGTTGGTAGGGGGCATTGAGCTGTTGGAGGGACATCTATCAGATGAGGAGTGAAATAGTGTTGTCCTGACCGCTTGTCATTACAGGTCTGTAAGAAAAGTCGGGTTAACCCACGTGTCGTGGGCAATAATTCCGCTGTCCCAAAATTCCTCCTGAAGATTTAATTGAAGAAAAACTTTGGTTTAGAGTTACTAGGCCAAAAAAGTTATCGTGTTTCACCCCCGAAGTGACCATATTTTTAGGGGAAGTGGTATCAGTGCGTGAGTGAACCCATCCCGCGCTCTTCAGGGTGAAAGGCGGGAGGAATGTAGAACCGTTAACAATATGCATTGGAAACTGAGGACAGGGTACAGGGTGTGGGTGTGCTTTAAAGCAATGGAAGCAGGAGAAGTCACCAGGGCAACATTATGCTGCGTCTGAGTCTGTAGCAGGCTTTGGCAAGCTATTGCTGTGAGGATTATAAGGCATTAGTTTGCTGCTGCTGCTATCATGGTTGTACTTGTCAGGAGTTTCGAAAGAGGTGTATCTGAGGGATGGGCAGTTTTATACCTACTGTGGTCTGCTGCTTTAAGCCATAGAGAGCAGGATAAAACACTAGTAATAGTGAGAGCTGTGTATCTCTATTGCTGTTCTACCTGCATGCACCTAACCGGGACGTTGCCCATGAAGACTTAACCTACATTACAGATCCTTTGAGTTTCAGCTTTATTAGCATTAGTGAGTTATCTTGGGTGGTGTGGATTTGAATTCAACAGTGAATTCTATTGAGATTTAATGTACAATTCTTCTTCTCTCCCCGTCAGTGTGTTTCCTGGTTGTTAATATCCTGATGCTCTCCAGCACTGAGTTCCATTGTAAATAAACTGCACCAGAGGCCACTGTGATGTATCCATATCCTTCTCATCTATCCAGTTCAGCAATGACAAGAAATTGGCCTGAGATCAGTCCCATAGAGCTGGTTTCTAAGAATTTCCTTGCCGGAAGGCAGCTCGTATCTGAGTCCTTGCGAAGCTCGTCGGCCTCTTGGACACAGGCTCCTCTCCACTGCTGCAAGGAAAGACAACCTGAAACCCCGAGTAGTAGAACATCTCTCTTATCTCCATGAATCCTCAGGCTTTGTTGAACACAACCACTAAGGGGCTTTGGGCAGATATGATTCCCCAAAGGGCATTGCAGCTAATCTGAAGGCATCAGGATTTCTTCGTGGAACTATATGGGAAATGCCCAACACTGTCTTTTTTTTTTTTTTTTTTTTTTTTTTTAATATGCATGTGAGGAACCGGCTTCTTTGAGAGTTTTTCATCTCACCAGGGCCGGCCATATAATTTTAGGGCCTGTAAATTGTGGGGGAGAGAACCGACTGCGCTATGAACTACCTTCCCTTCTAGTTCCACTAAGGGCGGGACTGGGAAAATGGGACCATGAGCTCCTTTGAGGGGTCCTGCTGCTTCCTCCACAGGTTCACTCCCGGGGTCTCTCTGGAGAATAGCCTCAGCTGGGGCTCTGCATTTAAAGGGGAAGCCACAATATCAGCAGTAACCTCATGATCTGTCACAAACAGGCCAGTGGCCATTCTCTGCTTGTGGAGTTTCTGCCTACCTGGTTCTGCACCTCTTGTCACCACACACAAGAGAGTGGAGATTGGCACCTCGGGCAGCTGTTTTTCGGAGGAGACTAGACAGACCAGGCAGTGGCTGGAATGCTGAGCTAGCTAGCGGTAGGGAGAGAGAGGGACTTGGAGGAAAATCCCACCAACAGTCTGACCCTGGCCCAAGCAGTTGCTTGCCATGCATGTGTGAGGCCCTGCTCAGTGTATTGTGGGAAAGTCCCTGTTCTGTATTTGATGTTTAGCACTGATCAGCTACAAGCCTTTATTCATGCAGTAGCTCTGAGAGAGTTTCTTCAGGGTACAGGCCAGCCCTGGATAATTTGTTAGATCCTTTTCACCTCCTATGAAATCCCCCACGAGAGCAATAGAGCACGTGGAGCTATTTGCAACAATATCTTGATGTTCTTGAACTAATAAAATTGCGGCTTTATTCCTTAACCCTTTCATGCTGAGTGCTGAAGTGACTCTGCTAGTTGAAGCCTAGCGCTGTTACTCGCCTGGTCTGGGAGCTGTAATGGCTGTGGGCGTATCCTACGACAGGCCTAGTAAATCCTTGACGTTTGTGCTGTGCTGGTAGGGGGGAAATGGCACAAAAAGCAGGTAAAGCCCAGTCACGCATAATGTTTACCCTGAGGGAGAACTACTGTTCTCTCCTTCTGTCTCATTCTCACACTCACTCACTCAGGGCTTGTCTACACTACCTGCCAGATTGGCGGGCAGTGATCGATCCAGCAGGGGTCAATTTATCGCGTCTAGTCTAGATGTGATAAATCGACCGTCGACTTGGTACTGCTCCAGAACGAGACGTGCAAGCGGAGTTGACGGGAGAGCGTCAACTGTCGACTTACCACAGTGAAGACACCGCGGTAAGTAGATCGAAGTACATCGACTTCAGCTATGCTATTAACATACCTGAAGTTGCGAATCTTAGATCGACCCCACGCAGTAGTGTAGACAAGCCCTCAGTGCTGGACTCTTCAGCTGTGGCCTGGCTGCGTATTCCCCCCCGGCCACCAGAGTCTGAAACCGCTAGATTAGAAATGAGAATTTGCAATTCCAGGTGAGTTCTGTGTCCATGCGACACTTTGGCGACTGATGCTGAGGTACTAAACAAGCAATTTTTGGCTCCTTGTATAGCCCTCCCTATCAGTCACAACTTGGCATTGCTTCACCGTGTGATTCAGCTCACTGACCAATAAGGACCCAGGACGAAGTCTATTCCAGTTTGTCTGCTGATTAGTTTCATGGTTTCCAATAATGGAGAAGTCAGTTTATAATTGGAAAACACAACAAAAAAATCTCCCTTTCCCCCACTGCACATCTTGCAGTCTTGCAAGGTTCTCGACCCTTTTCAGATTACTTGGATTGTCAAACTGTTTGTAGGGGCGGGAACCAAAGCAGTGGTATGCAGCGTTAACCAAGGCCCTCATTCAGCAAGCTACTTAACCATGTGTTTAATTTCAAGCATGTGAATAGTCTCCTTGGAGTCAAATTCTGTCATGTGCTTAAATCTCTTGTGGGTTACTACATTAGATAACTCCCCATGTTCACCTCTTGTGCTGTCCTCTCCCTTTCTAGAGAAGGGAACTGGTTTATCAGATAGCCCCACAAAGAGTAAAATACCTTCTATTTCAGCCTTTGCTATCACACTACAAGGGTGGAGAGGGGCTACATTTCCATGCACTGTGCCTTTGGCTCCCTGGAAATGTGTTTTGGTTGTTACACCTTGGCAATTATGACCTTGTTTTATGAAAAATAAATATTTCACAACCTCTTCTGGTGTGGCTGTTTTATGCCAAGCTCCCCAAGTCCTGACTTGTAGCAGAGAATGGATGTTCTTTGCGGGGATCCAACTAGCTTTAGGCTTGCGGAAAGCAGATTCAAAGGGCAGGGGGGGTAATTGTGTATGTGAAGGGGTGTTACACTGACTACTTTGGTTGAACTACATCAACCTTTGAGTCTCATGCCGACTGCATTTTCTTAGTGACATTTTTAATGACCTAAACAGCAAACATATGGGGGAGGAAGGGGACACGAATGAAAAGGGTACCATTTCTGCATTGCATCCTTAACTACTTAGAGATCTCTCTTGCCTCTGTTCAGGTTGCATTAGATTAAGGAGCAATGGAGCCTTTAACCCTAGAAAATCTTGTGTCTTAGCTAACACAAGATACAATTTGTTTATTTGGGAGTCTGGTTTATTTAAGTTTGGGGTTTTTAAAATCAGACTTAATGCAGGAGCAGTCTTGCTAAACGCCCAGGGTTATCTGAACCAAATATAGGAGACTAAGTGACTTGAGGATCACAGAAACGACTGATCTGGTTTGTTTTGTTTTTTAAAAACCCAAACCTCTCTGGTATTACAAGAATGTGCAGCCCTGCTTTGTTCCTGAGAACAGAGCTGCATGCTGCTCATTTACACGGGCTTATATCTTAATGGCAGTTACACTAGTCCAGTGTTTGGAACCACTGTCGTCTAGAGGAGTGTGCGCAGCTGAAAATCAAAGGGCTGTCTCTTTACATTAACACGCCTGCCGACTTGGGCTGCTGTCTGGAGCTGGCTTTTCTTTCAAGGCTTCTCTCTTTGCCTTTTCCTCTCGACCTGGCCTCGTCAAACACTTTCCAAACGGCAGTGGGCTGGAGATTAGACCAAAGCCAACTCAATATTTTGTCCGGCCATTGTAAATGGAAGCACTATTCTGAATAATAAAACACCACCAGTAAAAATCCCAACCCTACAGCGTTGCATTAAGGATGCGGCAGTGTTGTGAGCGGTCATTAGAATTGAGGCGTAGAATCCCTGAAGCTAGTTGTGTTGATCAGAATACCCCAGCTGGGTAAAAAGCAGGGGAATAAGGATAACTCAGTGGTGGGAGCACAAATCCTAGGCGATTGCCCAGTGGAGCCAATGTTAGTAACTTTGTCGCCACTATCTGCTGACTGAAACGTTTGTGGGCTTGCACCGGTTCTTAGAAAATTTCTCTGTATCATGTATCAAGTTAGCCCAGTACTGAGGCATTACCAACAAGGGAGCCAAGACTTGAACTGGGGCATTACAGAATGACCTACCCTATCGCCTCCTAAAGATTGCTCCAGGGCAGCGTGGAGACACACTAGTGGGGTAGCGTGAGGCAAGCTTGCACTTGCATCACTCCATATGCCAGATCCATTCGGGGACTAGACAGCTTCCATCTCCGGGCTAGCTGGATGGTTGTGCTCTGCTCGGCAGAAATTCAGCACAAACCTACCTGGTGACTCGGTACTTTCTGGTTCAATGAAGACATTGCGGAATGCCTCATCCTGTGACATCACAACTGCTGTGGCTTGGATGAGTCGCAGTGGGCCTGTGGTGTTTGTGATATCACATTTGGGGCTATTGTCACTGAACCAAGGAAGTTCCGAGTGGATTTCACAGAGCAGGTGCGTGGTGGAAAAGGAAGTAACGAATGTTTGTGCTGACTAGTGGGGCCATCCAGCACAGAGAGCTTCACTCTGCTCCATTTTGGGTTCACTTAAAAATATAGTGTAAAGTTCAAGATTTTCAAAAACGTTCAGCGCCCAGCAGCTAACACTGTTCTCAGTGGTAACTGAGCCCCTGAAAATCTGGCCTAGATCCTCACATAAGGCCAAAATAAATCTCATTTCACAAACCTGCCATCACTGAGTTAGCTATGGGACTGTCCCTTTAAATTTTTTGGGGGGGGCTCTGGTATATTTATACCATTCACATCCCAAAACCTGGTGCCCTGCTAATGAGCAGCACTTTCCAGTTTCCGCTACCTGTTGCTCCTGAACTGTGCGCAAGTCTTTCTCCTGGTTGTACGGTCTGCCCTGGTCTGGTTTGTTCATTGTTCCTCAGGATGGTTCTCACAGCACATCTAGCACCCAGGCCTGTAAGCTGGTATGCGCCTGCAGGAGGGTGGTAGGTGTTTGGCCTTTTGACTATTTGGAACAAGCCTTATTGAGCGTATAGCCATTGGAACTCAAACTTGGGAGCGAATAAAGCTACGTTCAGTTCTAGCTGGGAGTGCGGGGGGGGGAGCTTTGTGACCTCATATCATTTACTTCTTTCCTTTTAAAAAATTGCAGTATGTATCTGCTAACTTCCTGAGAAGTTGCTGAATGGCCTCTGTGTCCTATCGTTCTGTATGAGCTTCATTCTGTTTGTATCCCGTTCAGTGTCCCATTACTCTTGTGTACAAACAATAAAACATTGTTAAAAACCTCCTTTTTTTCCATTTAGTTGTGGTATGTTTGCCTCTTTTCAACTGCCTAAAGAGGATGGATGTACATCTTGTCTGCCCTCAAGTCACTCTCATTACTTGATCAAACTTAGTTATTTTCCAGTAACTCATGGAAGTCTCTTGTGTTTTGTAAATGTTCTGAGTTTCCTTCTCTATCCATGATCCAGTGTGACAGGGATGTATCAAGGGGAAATAATTCTCCACATAATTTGTGCTTTTTTTCCGCTCCTCTGATTGGTTATCCCCATCTGTATAGAAACATCTGAAAGTAATAAATGTGGCTCTCTGGCTGTTAAATTACCTGTACTGTGGTGTGTTGGACTGTCTCTCTTAACACCCTATGCACTTGCATTGCGCCTTCCCGCCGAGCGTCTCTGAGAACATTAGAGTCAGTACTGAGTTCAGGTTGGGAAGAGTTAACCCCATTTTACAGGAAGGGGAAAGTGAGGCACAAAGGTTGAGTGACTCCCTTAATGAGGCTGTGGAAGAATTGGGAGTAGTCTAAATCTCGTCTTGTGCTCAAACCACTTTGCCTGTTCTGTTATCTTACAGTATTCTTCAGCACTAGTCACTGTCAGTAGAACAATAAAGCTGTAGCACTAAACCACAAGGAGAATCCAAACTTTGCCCCACCCTCACCCCAGTCACAGTGCTAACTCGCCAGCAATTTAGGGTGTGTTTTCACTGTGGAACAAAGTTGGGTGATTGGCACCCGTCAGCCTCAGCTGGATGTGAGCAGCCACACTGCAAAGCCACTCAAGCTCTTGAGCCCTCTGGTGCACTCACCCCTGTGTTGCTAGGACTGCGTGGGGTGCACCCCATGGCTCTTTGTGCTGCGATACACTGACTTGCTTGATGAGTCTTTCCCAGGGGATAGTGGGGGACTGTGCCCTCCTGGGCACGCAGAGGGAATTATGAGAAGGCACTGGAGGACTATCAGTTAGCCTCCCTGCAAAGTGGGCAGGTTTCTAGCTTGAGAAAAAGCGCCTCTTGGGCTTTAGTCTACAGCCCCAGCTCACAAGGGGTGAAAGCACCACTTAACTCAGGTGGCAGGGCTTTGTGTGTGGACAGAAGGGTGGTTAGGGGCAACACCTAAGCAAAAGCATGAGTGAACTCTGCAGTGAAGACATAATACCCCCAGTCACATGTCTAGCTTGCATATACACCTACCTGCCTTCTGAGCAAATGCACAGCCATGATCTTTGTTTGTTATCCACTTATCAATGAAGCACACACTATTTGCTTGAAGTTGGGAATATTCGAACTACAGAATAGATCAACTTGGAATTACCCCTCCCCTACGAGAGCAAGCGGCTACAGGCTACATCTTATCATTCTCTGGCTGCGCTGGACAGCCAAGCTTTGTAGAAGTCTAAGCAAAATCTACTGTGGGGACATGCTACGTGCGGTAGGTTGTTGTAACTGACAAAGTTTCAGTTTCTGTGATAATCCATGGGGAGAGCTCCAATACCTGGTAGCCAGAGAAGCCAGACTGACAGCTGTATTGCAAGAGTAATGAGGTGGCTTCTACCTTCTGACTCCCAGTCCAGTGTCCTAGGCACTAGACCTTGCTGCCGGCCATAGTTAATGTTGTTTGAGATCTTCCAAAAAGTGTCTGTAAAAACCGGCCTCAATAGCCCAGCACCTTGTGTGTACCCGTCTGAGCAGCTGCTGGGTGCCTCACTGAGTATTACAAGGTGTTGGCGCTGCAGAACCAACCTGCCATGGGGAAAAGGAACTAGATTTTCCTCTGGTTCCCACCGACTTGCTCGCTAAGTTCTGATGCACAGCCAGGTACCCCCTAGTGGGCCTTTCATATCCAGGTTGAGTTTGCATGGGCTGCCAGTTAGAAAGCACATCGCTGCACCTCTAAATGCAGCAAACAGGGCCGACCTCTGCCTTTGTTAGTGTTGCTTTCCCGTCCGTAACCGTGATTTAAAACTAGCTTTGACAAAGCATTACAAACATCGGAGGGAGCCTTCTGCACTCAGAGCAGTTGGATTAGAACGGGATCTTAAACTTTCTCCATAGCATGGACCACCGTGTCCCTCTCAATGGGCTGTCATGGGGTGAGTGCTACCACAAGCTTAATGAGGATAGAGAAATTGTATCATGGAGCATCTCCTCTGCTATTCATGACTGTACAGACCCCACCTTTCTTCCCATTCATGAGTGAATAGGCCTCACTCCCACTCCTGCCATTCACCATCATAGGGGCCACCTGGCACCTGCCCACCCCCTTTACAAATATACAGTGAGGCTGCTGCGGCAACAGCAGCTGTTCCTTAAAGGGAAAAGTCAAATCCGGTGGGGGAGAGAATGTATCCTTAGCTCCTCTTAGTGTGGTAAACAGCTGGAAATAAGGAAAACCACCATCACGGGCCCAGCCAACTCTCCATCATCCACAGATCACAGCATCAGGGGACCAGCCATCTCTCCACCCATAGATCATAGCTGGGACCTTCCTCTGTCACATAGATGACCTTAGACATTTCTTCCTTTCTCTAACATACGTAACATGGCCACAAGGTGGCGCTGCTCTCTGGCTTGTTAGACTTCTCCTTGCGATTGATGTGCTAGCTCAGTTCAGGTTGGCAGGCAGGCTGCATTGAATAACTGGGATTTCCTAGCTGTAAATGTGGAAATAATTAGTTTGTTTTGGCAACATTTGAAACAAAAGGACCATTGAGTCTCCATTAGCTACTGAACCTCCCATGTGAAAGAATAAGAACATAAGAACGGCCTTACTGGGTCAGACCAATGGTCCACCTGGCCCAGTGTCCTGTCTTCCGACAGTGGCCAATGCCAAGTGCCCCAGAGGGGATGAACAGAACAGGGCAATTGATCGAATGATCCATCCCCTGTCGTCCAGTTCCAGCTTCTGGCAGTCAGAAGTTAAGGGACACCCAGAGCACAGGACTGCCTCCTTGCCAAGTAGCTGACTGTTGTGCAGTGCCTAGTGCAATCGGGCACCGATCTTGGTTGGCCTCTTTGCACTCCCATGATACGAATACTGAATAATAAGAGACGAGATAGGTTAGTTCCAATGGCCATGTTTTTCAGGATGTGCTTTTTTCCAGTGACTTTCCACATCTCCTAGCTTGACTCATTGTCACACGCTGGGACATAATCCATAGGGACCTGCACTACGATTCTCAAAGCTGGGGGCCCAAACGGAGACTCTGAAATCTGGATTTAGGCACCTCAGAGAAGTGACCTGATTCTTTTTTTCCAGAGGTGCTCGGCACGCCTCGATCGCATTGCAGCCAAACAGGAGCTGGGGGTGCTCAGCGGCGCTTCTACAACCCAGTCACGTCCGTTGTGTTGCCTAAATACGGGCTCCAGGAGCCACCTCCTAAGCACCCAGTTTTAAAAGCTTTTGCCCTGGTTTCCAAAAGTGCTGAGTATGTCTAGCTTGCATTGATTTCTAGGGGGAGTGGTGGTTGCTAGTCCCCCTGAAAATCAGCCCAGGTAGTTATACACCACATACTGTCTTAGGAGGACATAAGGTCTGGTAGCTGGCTTCCAGGAGTAGCCTAGGCTGGGAGCAGACCGAACCCACCCCTGGCCAATGATGCAGTGCCATGGAAGCTCTGCACTGATCAGCTGGTGCCGCGGAGGATGGCATGCGATCCCCATCTCTTAGCAGGTCTAACAGCACTGCGCTGCCATCGCTCCTGCCCGTCGCAGTGTGGGTCGCTTGGCACAACTGGATTTTTTCACCATTCTGAGCTAGATCAATGTTTATTTTAAGCATTTTTTAATCTGTATCCATTTTAAGTTTTCACAATGGAGCAATGGGTTTTAAGCATTATTTTTGATCAATTTAAATGTTCACAGTTGCAGGAATCATGCAAGGGTCAGACAATGGGAGGGGTCAGACCATAATTATTTAATGACAGGAGCTGGTGGGAGTCAAAAAGTTAGTTTTATAACTCTTAAAACACAAACTGTCAGCATCACGTGTCAAAATATACAAAGGAAATAGCCTTAAATCAAACTCTAAGAAGTTGTGAAGCAGTATTTTTCTTACTTTGCCTCTACATACATTTCAGTTATTAGGGATGAAAATAATTTTTGTTGGATTGTGTGTGGGTATGGTGAAATTGATGTTGTAACACCCTGGCACCCCCATATTCACCACTGTCATACTATTGTGATATGTTTTGTACAAAGTATGCCTTGAGAGGTATCATTCCAAAAGTCTTGATCTGTTGAACATTAATATCCTGTTGGGTTGTCTGTGCTATCGTTGTTGGGGAAGTTATGAAGTTTTGCTCTGTGTGTTACTGAAATATGTTGTAAGATTGGAAACACCCACAACCAGCCTTTCAGGTACAACAATGGAGAAACCAGACTGTCCTTGGTAGTGTGGATTCCCCTTAATGGGCCATCAACACTATCACAGGAGCTGTATACAATCATGACTTCTCAGAAGGAGCATGTAGACAATGGACACTGATTGACTCAGGTCATAGCAAAAGATCTTTCCAGCAAGCTGGAAGAACCTATAAAGGAGGGGAAGCGACATCATCCCTGGTCCTCATTCCCCTCGCAACTCAATACCTGGAAGCAGTGTCTGGAGGACAAACATTGGCAACAGGGGAGGTGGTCCCAGGCTGGAAAGGAGAACCCCAGCCTGTGTATGAAGGAACAGTACCACCAGGGGGAGATACTGCTTGATTCAAATCCTGTCTAGTGTATAGAACTCAGATTGTGAGACTACTTTTATTTCTTAGGTGACCAACTTTGATTAATGGGGAGGGATAGCTCAGTGGTTTGAGCATTGGCCTGCTAAACCCAGGATTGTGAGTTCAATCCTTGAGAGGGCCACATAGGGCTGTGGGGCAAAATCAGTACTTGGTCCTGCTAGTGAAGGCAGGGGGCTGGACTTGATGCCCCTTGAGGGTCCCTTCCAGTTCTATGAGATAGGTATATCTCCATTTATTTTGAGGGGGGAGGGATAGCTCAGTGGTTTGAGCA